TGGCAGCGAGCTCGATAATGAGAACAGGCTGGTCTTGTACACACTGCATTCTCATTCCTGCTTGGGTTCTACACAGGAGATAGTAACAATGCTAACTAGAGCTAGGGTCTGACAAATCCCTGATGTAGCGCCTCCTGGTGCTGATGTTCACAACCCCCCTTCCTCCCCCCAGAACCTGAACGTGAGGTTAAAAATCAGAATCTTGTTTCTGGAGGAGACTCATCCTCAGAATAAAGCAAGAACATATAAGGCAATATATGTGTATAGATCTCCAAATTTGGGTTCAAAGGTATCACAAGTAAAAAGCATAAGGTCTGCACCTGTACTCATATCACCAACCTTTCAGCAGAATCGGATTCAAACTGCCACCACTGAGCACCCACTACTACTAGATAGAGACGAGAGTATATGATTAAAAATTTTCCAGAATTGAGGGGGGAAATGTGATTCCATATTTCTTGTCCTCACTAGATACTTCTTTGACATAGTCTTTCAGGTAGCCTCTGAAAATTTCCACCCACTTGTTCCACTGGCTAAGGAAGCAGAAATTAATGTAGTGGGAGGAAATAGGATCTTTGTTTTTGGACACAGTAAAACTCAATGCTTCAAGTTTTATAACATTTGCAGTATACTGATTTATATTGGCTGAAGAAAAACAGTAAGCTCTTAAGCAGGGGAATAAAGGGAATAAAGAACCAAAACAAAATAAAATACCTCATTGAATAGAAGGATACCACAGTAAGAAACAAAAGGGAAATTTAGAAATCCCTATAGCAAGTTTTTGGATTGCCTGCAACAAATACTGGCATGAGTACAAAAGAGAATTTTAAAAATCACAGTGCTGATTCAATACTTTAAAATGTCCAATTTGGCAAAGAGTAATTTTTTCTATAAAGTGGGTACATGGACAATATATAGCATAAATTTTTGCAGGGAAGGAAATTCAAAAGATATTCAAATGTTTGTATTTGTTAGTCAAAGAAGTATAAAATATATTGAAATATCATTGTACATCAAGGAGTAGGTGAATGGATTTTAATGCTCTCTGCAGATGCTGTAAAAGTGAAAATACGACACATCTACCTTCTGGTTATGCTGTTAATGTGCACGATCATTTTGGGAAGTTAACCAATAATATATTAACGTCAAAAAGGTTTATAATCTTTGACACAATTCTATCTGGAGGATTTATTTTAGTTTAATGCCAAATAAGATTTTAACAGCTGTCTAAAGATAAATGCCTCTCTCTGCAGGCATTGTATGCTACAGAGAAAGAAAATACCAAACTACGAGCTTAGTAAACTGTGGTGTACCAACTGTTGGAATATTATGTAGCAAATAAAAGCAATAATGAGAAAACATATGTGTACATTTTGAAGACACAATATAGTTGCATAATCATAAAGCAGATTATTAAACTATATATACTAATGAAATTGTTCTAATGTGTGTCATTAGAAGTAGCAAAAAATGATGCAAAATGAAAATGAAGGAAGGCATTTCAGGATAGGAAACTGGAAATTTTCCATTTATTAAACTACTTCTTAAAATGTTTTCACTGTCTAAAAGGCAAAAATCAGGACTTAAAAAGATGCAGTCTATTCTTCCACTATTCAGTAGTAATGGAGACATTTAAGGTTAAGCGAATGGTTGAAGAGAGTGTCAGCAGGAGAGTTCGTCAGTAGGATTATGATATACACAAAGGATTACCCAAGAAAAAAGAATTTAATAAAAACAAAGTTAAGCTACATGCTATGAAAAGATTTTAATTATTCATCCTGAATTCTATTCCTAATAATCTCACAGTCACTGTTGTATTAAGCTCTGGCATCTAATTCAAGTTGGCATTAACACAGCTAGATATTAATGCTAATTAAATCTGCGTTTTCATTCTGAAAAAATGACATTCTTCTTAACATTATACACTTGCAGCATAATTCAATACTTGAAAAATACTTTAGATTATCTTATTTTTTCAAAAAATTGGAAAAAGAGAAATAGCCATATTGATATATTGTTGTGCATTTTTAGTCTTGATTTCAAAAGTAAATAACAAAAACAGTTTTTGCAATATTTATTCTGATTTATTTGGTGAACTCCTCCCCTCTGTTGGAATATGAGGGTGGATTTCCATGTTTAATGTTTACTGCAGGTGTAGATCCACTATGGTTCTTCTCTGTCTGAATTATAATTACTAATGAATTATTTTAGGAACAGTCTTTCATGGAGGTTGTGATTCAAATATTAATTAGCAGTAATTTAATCATGAAAAATCTAAGCATAGTCTACACTGAAAAATTAAATATAATGTTAAACTCCTATGAAAATATGTTTTTTAAGAAATATATATATTTTAAGACTATATATATATTTAAGAATACACACACACACACACACACACACACACACATTAGGTCAATCAGATGGCCAAAATATATTTCTCATATATATTTATTTGGTCTTTATCCAAAGTTCTTGGCTCATAGCTCCTAAAATCCTTAGAATTTTGTAAGCCTTGTGAATGATAAAAGTATCTCTTGTCATATTAATAGAGGTAGCTTTTGGAAAACACTGGAGGATGGAGGGTAGCTGCCAGGGAAATACACTGTGACATGAATAGAGGGTGGAACTTTCAGGCCCACTCCCAACCTCCAGGGTGGGGACCAATCAATGACCAATGGTCAATGACTGAATTAATCACAGCTATGTAATTAAGTCTCCATAAAACTCAAAAGGAGAGAGAGAGAACTTATTAGTTGGTAAGCAGGTTGGAGATTTGGGGAGATGGTGTCCCTAAAGAGAGGAAGGGAGTTCCAAGCCTTTCCCCCATAGATTGTTCTATGTATCTCTTCCACCTGGCTGTTTCTGAGTTATATCCTTGGTGATAAGTCAATGATCTAATGAGTAATAAAGCTTATGAGTTCTGTGAGTCATTCTAGCAACTTAATTGAACCTGAGAATGGGATTATTTGACCCTCAGATCTATGACTACTTGGTCAGAAACACTGATCAGAGCATAAGCTTACAGCTGGAGCCTGCAGTGGCGGTCAGTCTTAAGAAATCAAGCATTTAACCAGTGGAATCTGATGTTATCTTCCAGCAGATAGTGTGGGAATAGAGCTGAATTCTTTCACACCCTGCAGGTGCCTAAGAAACTCTTGTTGGTTAAAGCTAAATATTTTTATGAATCATAGAAAGAAATTCAAACCACTTTGAAATTTCAAAGTTACTTGTGATTTTAACCAACCCATGAATATAGCAATTATAAAATGGTTGCAGGACATCAATCTCTCTCCTTTAGCACACCTAGCAAATTCTAAAATTGCTCATGGATCAGAGAATAATTTGGACAACTTGGTCATGGTTCTAGGACTAAATGGCAGATGAAATTGCATTAACTTTCAGTAAAGTAATGTGGAGGTAAGAGTATGTTTATGGTTTCCAAGTCTGAAGTCTCTTTGATTGTCACAGTTTTCCATGACCCTCAGATAATTACAATCTTACACCAAAATAAGAAAACAAATAATCAAGGCAATGGCATTTTGCTGAAGCCACGATGGCCTCTGTGCTATCCATGAACACATTGTGCACATTCCTACTTAGGCTCCTATACTTGCACTGATGCTTTCTCAAAATCCTCAGTTGGAAGGTGCCACTACCCCTTCTTCCTATCCTGTCACTTCCTTGCCCCTCTGACTTCGGTTTTGTTTTTACTCTACTCACCACATTCCATATATATTTTACTTAATCATTCCTTTCCTCCCCAAACAATGCACATTATTAAGAATATGTACTTTTAACAACTCAATGATGTATCCCCCACAACTAGAACAGTGCTTGCACCTACCTGGTGTCCAATGCTTACTTAGTGAATGAAAGGAAACAGAATGAATAAAAATGAATTTATGAGAAAAAAAAAATCATTTCTCTGCTTATAAAAAGATTATAAAATGATTATTCAGCTGCAGATGATATTTCTTAGCTATAACTTTCTTAGGTCACTTACATTTTCTTACAGTCTAGGCTTGTTACTTTTTATAATGCTTCAGTTATTTTACTGTTATTTATTATTACTTTAATTTTGTTGTTGTCTGTTCATGCTTTAAATCTAACATGAGCATCATAGCTTTATGATGCTACACAGTCCACAGCACCAACTGCAGTCTTTTGCATGAATTAAGTAACAGATAAATTTGAATGACCAATAAACTATCATCCTCAAAATCTAATTGGCCTACTACTTAGAAGAGGCTATGATCAATGATGGAAGACTTGCTGACGACTCGAATTACAACGAGCACTAATAGTGCCCGATTACTTCCTCCTACATAGTTTTACTTCCCTGTGAAAATGGAGAAGTAACAGAAGAGGAGCAAGTAATTATGAAGAAGGAGTTGACTTGCTGATTTCAAGTCTGACTTGTTCTATGAATAATTCAGATATCTTTCATCGCTGCCTCCCCACAGACCATGATTGCCTAAGACAAACCACCTGAATAGAACAAATCCAAGATCCCTTTAAATTTTCAAGAACATAGTGTATGAGCTCCTGGACAATAATTCTGTCAGTAGTAGGAAGACAGTAGTAACCCCAAGGCAGCATTTAATCCACAATAACTGGGAAACAGAGATCCAAACCAATAAAAAGTGGAATATCTATCAAGCGCAGTGATTTAAGTTTAGCTGGTTGCATCAGCTCCAACCATGCAATTCCTATACTGAAAAAAAAAAATGATGCACATTTTCTACCTAAAGTATAATTCTGTTAATAGAAGTACAAGGGAAAGACGATTCTGGGTCACCATATTTGAAATGTGGATGGCATTCATTTTTATGAATAAATAGTCACTGAAAATATAAAAACTAAAATCAGAAAACACTGAATAAGGATTAATTCATATCCAAAATCTTATATCAAATACATGAGTCCTTTGAATGTTTCTGTTATAATTTCATGAAGCCAAAAGGTAAAAAAGAACTTCCAAGTGTAAATTCACATACCGATGCACACCACTGTTGCACATGATGATGTGGCAGGCTCCGAGCCTGTTGCACAGCTCTGAGGAAACTGACAGCAGCCCAACTCCAGAGGCACTGCAAGCTGTGTTTGCACAAGCAGCTGTGCGCTTGGACCTGATAAACGAGGCTACCAGCCGATAAAGTTCATCCAAAGCATTGAGAGGCCTCATTAGCTGCAGAAAAAAGTGATGAACAAAAAGTTCAACATGTTTAGCAGAAAGAAATCCTTTTTGGATGGGATGCAATTCAGTTGTTACAGTTTTTAATGAGTAACCTAAAATATTTTATTATGGAGGTAACAGAACTGGAGACCACTAAGGTTTATAATTACACATTGCTCAAGATCAAAGCAGAAAAAATAAGTAATCAGGTAGATAAATGGCAGAGTCAAAAAAATGCAAACATCCGTCTTTACCTTATCTATGTAGGCAGCTTTGGATGTAGAGTTTGTCGGTGAATTTGACTTGTCCAAGTAGAATGCCCTGCAAGAATCCAAAGAACAATGGTGACCATAGTTAATAATATAGTTTTAACTATGGTTAACGGAGTAGCTCTTAAATGTTCTCATCACAAGAAGAAAAGAATTGTAATTAAATACAACAGCTTTTACTCTCAGTGTAACTACCTACGGATCCTGAGCAGAAAAGGTGCTCTATAGGGCATCACAGACACTGGTAAGGAGTGGGGGTGTTGTTGAGTATTTATTATTTGCATTTTTATGAAGATATAATACATAGAACTTTATATTAGTTTGTTATACAACAGCGATGTGACATTTGTATATAGTGTAAACTGTTCACCACAGCAGTTAACATACATCACTGCTGTGCATAAAATTTCGCACTTTCCTGAAAGTGCCCAGTGTCATCTCATTTCAACTATAAAAGTACATATTTAGAATAATAGTATGAGAACCCATGTATCCACCATTATGTTTCAAGAAATCTTAACATTCTGCACTTTTGATTCACTATTTAAAGAAATAAAACAGTGCAGATACAGGTACTACTTACTTGTACCTGTATCCCTTGTTCAACCTTCTCAACTGCCACTCTTACTCAATTCTCCCTCCCCAGGTTAATTAATTCCCCAGTGCTGGAATTTCTCACTTCCCTGCTTTACCAGGTTATCCATACTATTGGCCTAAGTGGAAGCACCAAGAACAGATGTGATCTTTTTTTTTTTTTATTCTTGTTAATACTGATGTTATTAGAATTTCAAACTTTTGTGTTTTTATTTTCATTTTGCATACATTGGTTGGCTATCTTCATTTCTTCTTTTATTAGCCTGCTTGCACTTACTTTTATGTAGTTTCATTTCCTTTATTTACAATTAGGTATTACTTTTAACAGCAAGGGTTAAATTTGATGTTTCCCTTTCACTTTATATTGTATCTTTCATTGTAGGTTTACTTCTTCAAGAATATGCAGTTTTAAAGTAGATTATTCAATTAATATTTTTAATCAATGTCTGTCACTGGTATACTCCGGCATGAAATTCTAGAATCTGGATTGACAATACATTTTCTCTATACACTTCTTTGTGTCCACAATCTAGTTGTTTTTGTCTTGAGGTTAGTCTGTATTTTCTCTCTGACAGGTTAAGATTTTCTTTTTTTTTAAAGATTCATTTATTTATGCATACTATAACTGGGGTACAGGCCAGAGGTGTGTGGGGGGGTGAGAGGATTCACCAGAGACAGAGTGGGGAACAGAACAGGCAGAATGACCAAAGTATACTGCTGAGGGGAGCAGCAGGCGAGTCAGGAGAGATCTGCTGCACCATGTGGGTAGCTCCCTGGCCACGGATTGAACTCGTGCTGCAGCGGCTGTGGATAGCTTCATAGGTTGTGTCTTAACCCGTTGTGCCACCAGGGAGGCCCGATTTTCTTTTTATACTTAATGTTCTGAAGTTTTACCACAAAGTATATGGAAGAGTCAATGAAACTGACAATTGAAAAGATTAAAACAGCCTGACAAAGTGCAATGTTTGAAATATAAACAAAGGAATGCCATCTATAAAAAATGGTAGGGAGATTCTTCAAGGATTCATGGATGGTCTTCCTTTGTTTTTATTTCAAGCATGCAAAATATTCTTTGCCAACATGTTTCAATATTTCATTTTCTTCTGGGTCAAATTTATCTTCAATTGCCAATTTCATTCACTCTCTCATTATGTTAGGCTTTCTCACATGCTTTGGGATTTTGTTTTGCAAGTTCATTCAAAATGGATGATTTTTTATTAAGCTTTAGTTTAGCTTTATTTAGTTTTTTGATGCATATCCATCCTCTCATCATCCTTCTCTTACAAATGATTTTCTGTTCATTTTGTACCCAGAACCAGTTATCTGTAATCAGTTTAATATTACTGATTCAAATATGACATTGTATAGACATCTGGATTATTACTAGCATGCAATTTGGTTCAGTTCTTGTTTAAGGCCATTAGGCTTTATCCTGCCATCTTAAATCCACAAACTCTATATTCTCAAGCAGTAGTATATTCTTCACCCCTTCTCAGAAGTGGAAGAGCCCTTCCCTCCACCCGTTTCAACCAGTGGGCTGGCCCTGGTTCTCCACCTTGTGAAGAATGACTGATTTTTCATTGCCCTGGAGAAGTTGTAACCCTCTCTCCCCACCCCATTCCTCCAGTTGACCAGGCTAGAAGTAGCACAGCCCACAACTTATTACTAGGATTTTTCTTTTGATTTAGGCCACTGATATAAATTGTGAGCTCAGTTGTAGCTTTTACACTTTTTGCCTTCATATATTTTTTTTAAATTAAGATTTATTTATTTATTTATTTATTTATTTATTTATACAAGCACTGGGTACAGTCAGAAGCAGAGGAGGGTGAGAGAATTCACTAAAGACAGAGTGGGGAGCAGAACAGGCAGACAGACAAAATACACTGCTGAGGGGTGCAGCGGGCACAGCAGGAGAGGTCTGTGCGCCATGTGGGACCCTTGCCGTGGCCAGGGATTGACCCAGCACTGCAGAGGCTGCAGGCAGCTTCGCAGCCCAGTGCTCAAACACTGTGCCAGCAGGGGAGGCCCTGCCTTCATATTTTATCAAACATTGTTATATGCTAGGAAAGGAAGAGGTGCTTCAAAGCTGGAAGTCAGCTTAGTCAGTTGAAGTCTTTCCTCAAGAGTTGCTTGATAGAAAAAAATAATGTGATTATGAAGAGTACACAAATCCATGGATAAATTGTTTAGCCTCTAAGAGTATCAGTCTCCTCACTCTTAAAATGAATATTAGTATTGTCTAACATATAGTCAGCATAATATTGAAGGTTAATGGATACATATGAAGTACTCAGAACTGTGGTAAGCAAACTGGGCTCATTCAACAGACAATAACTTAATCAGGTGCATGAAGTGGGAAGCATCTCTTGGAGCAATTTTAGCAATGACAAGGAATAAAATTAAGGCTAAAAAACCCTGCCTTCTCCTAAGAGCATCTAAAATATTTTATGATTATATATAAAACAATTAAATTTAAGATAGATATTTGGAATCTATATGGTTCCATGATCACTATGTAAATAGAGGTTCATATCTCAGGAGAAAAGAAACTTTAAGGTTAAAGTAAAAAAGAATGCCAACTGAAAGGTTTACTGGGTGTATTAATTGTAGAAATTACAGCTTTTCTATACTTTGAGTTGTTTGGAAAGGAAACTATAATGTGAAAGCAGTCTATAGAACATTAGTGTCACCTAAGGAAAACTACCACAGAAATCGTCATGACAGCTGGCTGTGCTCAGCACTCTCCTTGTTTCCTGAAAAAGATACACTTTTTAAAAAAAGTCATCACTGATTCAGCCACTTGAGATCAGGATCATGTCGATATAATTCTGCTATATTGACTTAAATTAACTTGACAGAAATCATAAAATTTTTATTAGGGCAAAATCTTTATAGAAAAAAAAAACATTTAAAGAAGGAAGCCAGCAGAAAAACCTTTATTATTTTAAAATACAGAAACAACCATATCAAGTGGAATCTCATTGAGAAACAATTTTTTCTTCTCTAAGTTGCCATATAGAAGAATTAAAATTAGTAAATTAAGACAGTAAAGACATCTATAACATAACTGCACCATTCAAAATATTCTTAGAAGATAGTGGCTTACTATAAATTCAAAGTTAAATATATTTACAGATATTTTACCATCCTCCAGGGTTACAGATAATCATAGAACTTCAGTATTTTTCAGAATATGACAAACTGTAGACAGGAAATAAATTTCTGATGCACTTCCCTTAATTACAAAAGTCTTGCATTGTTCCTTAATCAAAATTTATGAGAATGTTAATGGTAAAATTGGATTAATGCCCAAAATGACTACAGTTTATTATGCTTTTGAGGTTAGTAAGAATGAAGTCATAGTCCTTTGTCTCAATATAGTAAATCTTATTAAGACCATTTTGAAAGCACTGCTGCTATTTCATATGGGCTGAACAGTGAGTTTCCTTTCATGCTGATATATATCAGGCTTTGTTGTCACAACTTTGTAAATTAACTCTGTCATATAAGATGGATACATTATGATAATATTTTTTCATTTAGTAAAAGTAGAATAAAATACCAATGAAAGAGGTGATAACATTATGTTACAAGAAGTAATATGTATCATTATGGCATATATAATACATATGTGTATATATATAATTACAATGAAACTAGTCTTGGACATTTATCTCATATAACCCAATAGCAAAGACAAATACACAGGTATCAGTAATGCAAGGCAGAAAGTGATAAGTAAGCTAAGAGATATAAAAAGTTATTGAACTAGGAAGGTCATGTAAGAATATGGCATAGTGTTGACTTTGATGATGGAGGAGGTGTGCTTCCCCAGTCTAATGGGGAAGCAACATTTCAAATAGAGGCACCACCATGAACAACATAGCAGATATAAAAATGAATGGGCCAATTTGGCTGAAAAGTAGGTTCATGTAAGGTAGCAAAAGAATGTTGGACAAGTAAGTGATAGCTGTACTGTGAGGAAATTAAATACCAAACAAAGATTTGTAAATAATGTGTTAAGCAGTAGAGAAGCACAAAGTAGCTAATAGCTGTCATTATAAAAGTAAAAATAAATGCATGACACATGAGATATGAAAATTTGGGGAATTTAGAGTGGGAAAAAAACTCAAAAAATGAAAAAGAAATCATTCAATATTCATAACAAGACCATAGTAATGTAAACAGGGAATCGATGTTTGCCATGAGAGAAAGAAAATGAGAGGGGGAAAATTGAGATTAGTTTATGTAGTTATGCAATTTAATGTACTAATTTGAGAATCAGGAAAATGTTTTCTCAAATGTGTAAGGAATGAGGATCGTAACTCTGTAGGATCATGCTAGTGTGCAGAGATGGCCAGTTTTTCATACAAGGAGAGACACTGCAACCGCCTGCAGCAAGATATTTAAACCTATTGATTTTGTCATAGGAGATTCAGAGAAGTTAATCAGTGA